TCTCCCTGAGTACATCTACGATTGCTGTGGGGCCGGCCCCCAAGTCCACTTGGAGGCTCATATTAATTAGCTGAAAGACTATCCGGCTTCTTAAGCCAGATGATGCAATTCATGGTGCAATGATGATCTGAAAACCTCGTGTTGGTTATCATCTCTGTGATTTGGTCCTGCTTGTGGGCCTTGCGTTGGTTGAATCTCGCAGCGGCCCCCAAAAGCTGCTGCGGCCACGCTGTGATGGCCAACATTGGATTGCTGCGGCTACTCGGGGTCCATGTTGGCCATCACAGCGTAGCCGCAGATTGCCCCATAGAGCGACAAGTTTCTTTGATTATGATCACCTTAGTAGCCGAACCGGTCTTTGATTGATCCAACAGTACTCAAGGGCCATGCATTACCGTTTGCAAATACAGAGCGGGGTACTTGGCATTGGGGTCTGCAGTACGCTTTGCGAGCAACCAAGTTTGTTTTTATCTTGTATCTGTTGCATCCGACCAACGGGGTTTTTGCTGTAGCTAACCATGATGTCTATGCTACTGTGACGTAATAAACGCGTCAGCTGAGGCCATCGACAGACAATCAACGCCGCAGCAGGCAGAAGCACGAGCCGTTCTGTAGATTGTAACTCCTTTGTGACAATCACCCAGAGTATTGGGGCGCGAAAACATTTAAACCATCTCCTTACTGTCCCTTTCATCTTGATCCCACTTGAACAACATGCCGTGCACCACGAATGTGGATAGGAACATCTTCAAGCTCATCTTTGCTGACTAAATTTGAAATACGAGACAACAATCCAAGGTTCCCAAATTCTTTGAAACACTCCGAACGGTCATGGGAAATTATCTTTCATCTTTCTATCGGTCAATCTGGTTTCAACCCACACCACACATCGCGGTTCGCATTTCAGCATCTTCTGACCGGCTGAATATGACTGAGGGGATCCCCCTGACCTTCTTCATCGAACTCACTTTACACCATTCCCAGCCTATCACGTGGGAATCACATGGCTGGGGCATAACCCACGGTTCAACCGTCTTCCGCGATGGTGGCTTGACCTTCAGAGACACATCGACTGGCCAACTTGTTCCCCGAGGTCATATCGACATTTGTGTCGAGAGTGGCGACAACCAGATAACCGAACAAAACAAGGGAGGTTGGACAACACTGTACCCTGGAAAACCGCATGTCTTGGAGCCGAAGCTCGAAGGGACTTTGGGACCTCAATACTGGCCGCCGCCCCAATGGACGGGTGAGACGGAGGAGGAATGCAGGGATCGACCACACACTGTAACGTGGCAATTCGTGCGGCAGTTCAAGGATGGCAAAACCTATGAGGTTGGCATCAGTGACGAAGCAAGGATTGCATGCTACTGGAACGGGACTAAAGAAGACTTCTTGAGCGGTCGAAAGACACAGTCTGACGCGACTAGCAGGTCTGGTCCGATCGAATACAAGGTTGACGAGACGGTATCCTTCACGGTCAGTCGACCAGACGCGGACGGAAGTTTGAACTATTTCTTGGGTTAGGATCACCACCTATCTAGCAGCAATAATGATGCCCTGTGAAGCAATTACAACCTTGGGGGTGTCGCACCATACAAGTTTCCAACGCGATGAAATTGTTATCATTTATTCTTTGACATCGTAGTATGTGAGCCGCCTTGTATCATCAACCACCCTACGATCATCGAGTATGCCAATGTTACCGCGTCACATTCAACTTTAACAGCCTAGTTTCGGGCAAACCTCGAGTGGTCTCTCGGAACACTTCGATATACACCCATATGACCTCTGGCTCTCAGAAGCGCAATCCATCACACAGGACCAGCCTTCTGCTTTGACGCACTCGTTCCATCCGCCGTATGTGCATGCGCGGGCACCAAAGTTGGAGCGGGCGATGATTGGGCTGAATTGGGCTTCTCGGTTCAGCTCTCCGAGGACAGTCCAGATCTCATCGGCCGTGGCTGGACGGTCGGCGCCGGCAGCGAAGGCCGAGATTGCGTGCGCAGCGAAAAGGAGCTGTATCAATGCGTCAATATCATTAGCGCACCTCCGTGTAAGTGAAACCGAGGATGCGGGCAGGAAACATACGAGTGGAGAGATTTGCATGGTGGTCAGTCAGTATGGACAGCACTGGGCGTTCTGATAGATCACGGTCGTTTGCTTGATAAAGATGGTGGCTATCAGCCCAGAGAAGCGAAAGAGACTGTTGTATTTGTAGATGGCCACCCTGCGCAAGCTGCTGCGGGTAGAAATTGCATCTGGAGCAGTCGAGCTTTGAGTTTCTAGGCATCCAGGATAACCACATCAAGGGAGACGTTTCCTACGATTCCGGTTCGACGGGAGTAATGAGTAATTGACCTCGAAGGAGCCCTCGCGGGACTAGGCCGTCTTGGCGGCGGGTCGATCAACAGATACCCCATGCAGTGCCCCGCGGTCAGCCAGTGTCGGATGTAAGCATAAAGTCCGGGGTCAGCACCAATGACCATCAGTGTTGGGGGCAGCTATTTGGTCATGTCAACACCAACGACCCTGTTGAAAATGATCACGATAAGTTGAAGCTAAACTGGTTTGCAGGTTAGTCGTAATTTTCCAGAGATATTTCTTTAGCCGGGCTGGCAAAATTGTTACGTGGCATCCGGCCTCCCACTGAACTAGACCTTTTGCAGGTCTCCAACACGAATGATTGCGTGGTGTATGCCCTTGAACCAACACGAACATACCTAAGCGACAAGAACCAACACGAACTCAATTAAGCGAAACACAGGCAGCAGTTTAAAAACAAATAGCAACTCATGGACGCGTAACTTCATATCCACCATTGGCTGTGCCGCTGCCCGATGAGTAGTATGCGTCTGTGATCTGCGTTTCACTTGACATCTAGACGACGTGTTGTCTCTAGTGTCGATGCGAATTCTAGGTGGACATTCTCTTACATCACGAGAATGCCTGTTAATTGAGGCTTTTGAATATTCCACCGAATTGTCAAAGGACAAGGTTGAGGGTCACTGAAAGCCACTGAGCACCAGACTATCTAAAGTGAAAGGCAAAGTCTCTAGGTTGCACTTTATCATTCGTCACAATCGTGGAGGACACCACTGGGATTCTTGCAATTAGTTTCTTCTCAGGATATAGTCACCGTCATTTTATTTCTCACTTTTTTTCATACTTTCGTATGTATTTTCTTCCAGATTGGTGGGATAATCATTCTGTACAGGTTCGGTTTCAAGATGTTTGACGGATCTGCTGTTACGTTCTTAGTACTGACCAAGATGGTTCCGAGTCATCTTTGGAAAAGAACGGGGCTTAGGTATGATTGAAAAGGCTTACGGAAGCTCACTTGCGACACTTGGGAGGCCACCTTTCCTTGCTTGTGATAGCCGGCATGCGACTCCAATTGGTTGCTGTCGGCGGTTGTTGGCATTCTCTCAAGGTTTTGCAGAAAGTTATACACCTTTTGTGATGTTCTTGAAGGACACATGTTACATGTTACATCAGTAAGGTAGGAAGATTTGAGTTCTCGTCGAGTTATCCAATATTGCAGATAGAACAGACTTGAGAACCTGTATAGTAAACCTGTATAGCTCTGCGCAGGAGCGTACGAGTACTGCCGTACTTTGGGGAGAAGGAGTTCGAGTCCGCGGCACTGGGGACGCATGCGATGTGGGAGCTGGATTTTGACTGCTGTCGTGAGATGACTATGGACGAGGAGGGGATCAAGACGGCTTGTAAGAGCTTTTGGAGGAACGATCAGTATCACCCGAGGCCTGGCAGCAACAACCTCTCAGATCAGAGGCTTTGGGCTGTTTTCAGAGAGCAGTTCCTCAAGACGAGCGAAGGATTGTTGGAAGGTGAGAGCGAAAGGGTCAAGAAGTTGCCCTTTATGCTCATGAACATGATTGAGGAGACTAAGGGGAAGTCTCTGAGGGGAGGCTTGGTATCGGAAGATCGCATTGAGGGGCAGAAGTGGGAAGCTTTCCACTCCTGCGAGCGGAAGACGAATGTAAGACGAATGTGAGAAGTCTGATGTTTTTCAGGTTTCTCGGAAGATTGAATAGTTTACGAAGGGATATGGATACGCCGATAATGAGAGTCACGAGTAGCACAAACATATAATTCAACCACTTGAATATCTTGATGATCACGAAGTGCGCTAGAAGACATGTCCATGCCATTAAGATTCTACCAGTTACTTACACCAGGCACACCAATTCCCACTCACTTACCCTCACGTCGCTTCACTCATGCACACCCATTCTCACCTTCCATCATACTATTCCCATCATACATAACACATCCCAAGCCAGGCACCAGCATCATCCACAGATTCGCGACACCCAGAATCCGTCACGACTTTCCTAAACACGCGTCGATCACCAATGCCCACTCGCCTCCTCCTTCCAAACATTCATCCCAACCCGTGAAGGGGAATGTTTACACGAGCGACTATTTTTGGTCGGTGATGCAGGGGTCAGACACGTCGTCCGTTTCAGCACGCGCAAATCCCCTCAAACCCACAGAACGGGACCCAAAGCCCGCCCACCTCATCGGAAGATAAAGAAAGAAACATAAAGTGACAGGTTTTCTGACAGCTAGGGAATTACGTAGATGATGTCATCCAGGTGGTCGAGAGTGTGCTTGTGTCTTGCAATTTGCGAGCGTTCATCATTAGCCGTGATAATTTGAGTATTGTACAATGGTGCCCTATCCACCCTCCTTTGACCCCCCCTGTCACTCCCGTCCGGTATGATGAATATGATAAGCAAATGGACACAGGAAGGATTGTTGGCAGGTTTGACAGGTAAAATGCATCTCTAATTGAAGGTTTTATGCTTGACGCATTGTTCGGGCGACCCGTCATCCGATCCTTGGACGGGGCCATCCCGGCACGAGCTTAAAAAATGTCGCCGTGTTTCTGATGTGTGCACGCTGTAAGGACTGTGGGTATTATTCGCGTTGGTGGTAATAAAAGCAAAGAAGACAAAACAAGAGATTCAGCTTCATCCAGGGCCAATGAACTTCCTATCAGGACCCCTTTCCGCCCGCGGCAGCTGTCCCGGTAGCGGGTTGTACTGCGGCGAGTATCGCGAGATGGCTTGGGCAGGGTACTGCGGCTGTTGCTGAGGCTGGAACTGCGACTCCTGAGGCTGGAATTGGGATTCTTGCGGCTGGAATTGAGGCTGCGGCTGCACTGGTTGCTGAGCCGGCGGTGGCTGTTGGTAGGAGTCCGGGTTATACGGCTGGTACCCGATGTTGATCGACTCGCGGTACGGTCCCTGGCCGATGCCCTGGTACATATCGTACGTGGACGGCGGGTACGGCACCTTGGGGTACTGCACCGCCTGCGAGGACGGGCGCTTCATCGTGCTGATGCGCAGCGGCTCCGGGACGAATGGCGGCTCGTTGTTGATGGTGGCGGGCTCGTTGATTGACTTTTCGTAGTAGAAGCTCGTCGTGGACATGTTCCTCGGCACGGCAGCGGCGGGAGGGGTGTCTTTTGCGGGCGGGGCCGGGATCGCGGCGTTGGCGGCCATGAACTGCGCGACCATCTGCTCTTCCATCTCGCGGGTGGTGCGGTTGGCGATCTTGGTCTGGCGGTAGGTCGCGACGAGGGTCTGCTCCATCTCCTTGGTGCTGCGCTTCGGCTGGCGGAGGATGGCGGACTCGCGGGGGAAGGTGGCTGCACCGGCGGGCGGGTTGGAAGGGGGAGGCGCGTTTTGCATGTTTTGGGAGACGGCGTCGACCTTCTTCTTGCGGTCGCGGCGTTTCTTGAAGAAGATGAAGGCGCCGATGAGGAGGCCGATCAAGGCTGTGGATATGTCAGTGGTCTGGTGAGGAGATTGTGATGAAAGGGGGGGATTGACATACCGACGATACCGAAGGAGACCCCGATGGCAAAAGGGCGGTTGGAGTCCGGGGCAGGTGACGGCGTTGCTGAGACGGCGCCGTTGCTTTCTTGCATCTGCGCGTTGGAGGGCACGATCTGCGGGTCTGATGTTCCTGAAGCGGCATTTCCAACTGTTGGTGGTGAAGGAATCACTGACGGGGTTTCTGCTGCAGGCGGTGGTGGCGGCGGCGGTGGTGTAGATGGTTGCACAGCAGGCGGAGGAGGAGGCGTCTGGGAAGTCTGTCTTGACGGAGGCGGTTGCGGAGGTGTCGAGTTGGGGGCGGCGGACGGGGTCGGATTTGACGGTGGCGCGGCCGGAGGATTTGACGGGGGCGGTGCGCCGGGGACGAGCGTGATGAATCCCCTCGCTGGCGGGAAGCTCGCTGGTGCGGCCGGGTTCAGGGCGGCGGGCGGCGCAGTGGGGAGAATCGGCGGGTTCGTTGCTGCAGGCGGCGCGCCCGGAGCCGGTGACACGGAGGGCTTTGGTTGTTCTTCTTCCGAGTCACTGCTGGCGCTCGATTGGGCTCCTGGTTGTTGCTGCGCATCGGAATCGCTGGCGGAGCTGTTGGACTCGGCCTCTTGCTGAGCACCGTTGCCCTCTTCCGCTCCGGATTCCTCTTCCTTTTCCTGTTCTTCTGCCTTCCTGTTGTTTCCAGCCGGGCTCTCCTTCCCTTCTTCTTCCTCCTCCTCCTCCTCCTCTTCCTTCTCCTGCTCGCCCTCCTTTTCTTTCTCTTCGTCCGCCTCCTCGCCGTCGTCCTGTCGAATAGCTATCTTCGGCCCTTGGCGACGGACCAAGTTGTGACGCGGTCTACCGGGGAACTTGGGCTCCGTCCTCCTCCTCCGTTGTCTACCCAACACCATCAGCTTCACCATTTGGGTAGAGGATGGTCATGTATAACCCACCTGAAAGTCGACCAAGTCGTGGTGCCCTCCATCGTGAAACCTCTTCCTCCTCGTCTTCCTCAAAATTACCAAGACTTTGACGGAACGACCAAAATAAGACTGTAATGCGGCCAGCGGTAATCAAGAATGGAATAGAAAACAGCACAGCTGTGGAAGTCTAAACAGAAAAGAACAAGCGCAAGCGCTTCATGGAGAATGGAACTGGTCGAACCCGCCGAGCCCTTGAACAGAAAAGACCGAATCAAGAACCAGCAGAGAAAGCCAAGGAAAGAGAAAAAAAAGGGAAGAGAAAGAAACCCTCCCGGGAGTTACCACCGGCGCCCTCGGGGGATGCTGCTTATTATTCAAATGTCGCCTACGGACGCCCGCGTAGACCTACCTTCTCCCGCTGTCTCCTCCCCGGCACTCGGACATAAAAAACCCCAAAGCTCCCTCCCCTCCAACACCCCCCATGTCTTATCGCAGGCCTCACATCAAACATCTTCCAAGAAAACGGGGAACAAGGGGGGCTTCGAAGTGATGAACGTTCGCTGCCTCCTGCGTTGTCGAGATGGGGCTCCCTCCACGTCTGCTGTGTGTGGTGCGACAGGTGCACGCGAGTAAACCTCAGCCATGACAGGGGGCCATGTGTCCAATCACAGAACACCACCAACCGGACATTCAGCGCAGTTTGCCTCCTCAAGCAGCGCCGGCGGCCGTTCGTGTTCACTGCTCAGCAGCGGCCGGAGCCCTTCTGCCGCGAAGAGTCGCACCCAGGGGCTGGGCCGGGGTTTCAACTGTCGACGAGGACCCATGCCGCTGTCACCCGCATGCCGCACCAGAGAGGCCCCCCTCGGCCGTGTTTGACGCGCACCTTGGCGCTTGGCCTGACGGCGCCTGAAACCTGGGAGATGCAACTGCGCTGGAGCTGTCCGTACGTACGAATAGGCGGTTTTGCTGTGCTTTTTTCACCATCTTTGGCCGCCGGGTCGGGGCTTTTCTGTTGCTCGACGGCATCCATCTCCACTTGGGCGCCGCGAGAACGGGGTCGACAGGGCTCGAGGCGAGGAATTGAGCTCGCGTGGGAGAGGGACTTTTCTCTTGGGGTCCCTGTCGGAGGTTTAGAAACATTGCTCGTCTTTTTTTGATTGTCCGCCCCGACCGGCGTCGCACCAGGGCTGCTCGACTCTCACGATCATCACCGCATTCTCCTTTTGATCGGGTCATCGAGGCCGCCGCGTCCAGACTGTGTTGTCTACCGGGCATGATGGCGTGCATGAACACAGGAACCAAGAAAAACGCAAACTTAGCAGGTTGTGCCGAGAAATTGACGCCCTCATCGTCGTCACCACGAACACGGCCCGGCCGGAGACGAGTCGCGATCACCGCCAGGATGCGCCGCCAGCCGTCTTATCAATCAGGTCAACTTTTGCCGACGCCAACAAGTCGCGGGACTCGTCAGGTCTGAGGACCAGCCAAATCTCCGTCGCCGGCCGCCGCGCTCTGCCAGCTGTTTGGTCGGTATCTGGGGTAACAAACGGGCCATGGGTGTCTTCTCGTCCGGTTTGTGGTTCGCAGAGTGAGGAGGATGCCGTGGGCCGCCCACCACGGGGTCGTCGATGAAACTGGAAATGCATGGGCGCCCTGCGCGCATCCCTTTTGTCTTTTGCGATTTGTCTCCTGACGATGACGTTGGAGTTCTGCCTTTCTTCTCGTGTCTGGTGAAGTCTTGGTATTTCTATTAATACGGCCGAATTGCCTCTCAATGTCCTTCTGGGCGCGCGCCTGGTGTTCTTCGAGCCGTCCTCGGTTCGACTAACCTTTCCGGCTGCGATACCCTCCGAAAGGCCGGTATCCTTCTCACAGCCGGGTGATGACTGAATGATCTGCGTCGGCTGGACGGTGGATGACAAGCGCATAAGAATCATCTCGCTCTGTTGATTGCACAATGGCAACCGATCAATACAAATTTCGCCAACGTGGTTATGTTGAAGTTGAGCTTGTCGATAGCTGCGATGCCTGGTGATATCGCAAGTGGTGGTTGAAGCTCCGCCTGATGTTCAGACAGCGCGGTCTGCGGTCTGTCCCTTCTTCGCTGGAACATCGGCATCCATCCAATGTTTAAGCCATGACCAGGCGTCGGGACAATTCTTTACTGCGTGACAAACATTACTTATATTGACCCGCCAAATCATCGCAGCCAATGCATCAGCAGTACTTGAGGCTCTGTCATTACGGGGGAAGTGGGATGCCGGTCGCAACACTGCGTCCCTCTATCGGGCCCTGTAGCGAATGACACGGCTTCTTGGCATTGGTATCAGCGACGCCCACTGATTATGCAAATCTGTGAATCCGCCGCATTCTCTCTCAGTCAGTAATTCCCAGTTCTTGATGCCCATTTTCGGGAAAACGTAGCTGGGCGTGTACTTGCCGCAGCTCCTTTCGGTGGCTGAGCTGTTACTCAGCGATTCTTCTTTTCAACCAGGCGAATTCTCCCTCCACTAGGTGCGCGGCGGGCTGGCTTCGCATGCCGAAATGAGAGCCGAGCAACCGCCTTGTGTAGACATATTCGCGAATTGTCTTCCACTCTGCATACCTAATTGCATTTTCGATCAATCTGCTCCTATTCAGTGAACCAGTTTTTGACTACCCGAGGACAACAGGCGCGAAGTTTTCGTGCGATCAATTCATCTAGTTTGACTCATTCGTACAGCAATAGCCAGCTTCCACAGCGCCGGTCCACTCACGCAAATAAAGAGGCTTCAACACTACTGGCATTCGGTCAACGTGACCAAATAATTTTCACTTTCTATCAGTCTCAATTGAAAGACTCTAAGGAGTTCCGCATGATATGCATGATCTCGTTCTTGCATGATCTCGTTCTTGAACAGGGTCTGCTGAGTCTTCTTGCGGCCCCGGGGGAAGCCGCTGGCACTCCCACTCATTGTATTAGACCCGGCAGCCTGGAGCGAAAGCTGATGAGAAATAGTTGTCAATTGTTCATGATGGCCAGGTCATATGCATAATCTGGCCGTGGAGGAGAACTCCCCTCCTCAGCGAATGCTGTACTTCTCTTCTCAGGCGCAGTAATGACCGCCTACCTACGGGTGCCAGCGCTCAGCCATTCGGGCACAGCCATCAATAACCAACCGCTGATTTGGTATCTTGGATGAACAACATGTGCCGATGGACACGTCCCAAGGGCTCACAACCCTCACGTTCTTCCCGGTCACATCATCGGCATCTCGTCAATCAAGTTTTCCAATCTTACAGGTATCTCACAAAACCCTCAAGGTACCCAGGGTCCTACTGCCATTAGTCCCTGCTTCCCTGGAAACTTTCCCGATTCGGGGAGGGCGTTCCTGGGAGAACGGCCCCGGTGGATGTCCCCTCGCCCAATCACAGAAGCCCCGATTCCTGATGACCGCCCCGGACTCAAGCCAGCCAATCCCGTGTTGCAGCCCCCGTGGTCATATCGTCAGCACCCGGATGGCCCGACTTACACGACGCATGCTCGAGACACCTTGATGGCGCTGCCATCCCTTTGGAAAGATGATCAGATATCAGAGAAACTGTTAATAGAGATGATATAAATATGGTATATTCAGGTGAATCGGGACTGGCTTCGTTTGCAACAATCAAATCACGCTTCTCTTTCTTCAGCCAACAAATAAAGTTACACGGTCAACATGGGCAAGAAACTTTCTGCATCTTCCACGAAGCCCAAGTCCGGGGGCGTCGTGGTTCCAGGAACAGTTACCCCGAAAGCCAATGGCGACGCCGTTGCGCCCAAACTCACACGTGCCGATTCTGGTGTCGATGTATCGAAAGCAGCCCAGGGCAAGCCACTACCCGTCACTCTACTTTCTGGCTTTCTTGTATGCAATTTTAAAGCTTCGCTGCAGGTGGTCTTGACTAACACCAAAGCAGGGCAGCGGAAAGACAACCCTCCTCCAACACCTCCTCAAGAGCGACCACGGCCTTCGCATTGCCGTGATCGTCAACGACATCGGCGCGTAAGTCCTCATCTTCCCCCACCCTTTCCCGGCATCTCATTAACAGTCTTTCCCGTCCAGCGTGAACGTCGACGCATCCCTAATCAAGAAGAGCCACAAGATCACAAAGACAGAAGAGAAGGTCATCGCCCTGCAGAACGGCTGCATCTGCTGCACATTGCGCGGCGACCTTCTGGAGGAACTGGTGCACCTCGCCGAGCTTCATGAGTTCGACTATGTCGTCATCGAGAGCAGCGGCATCAGCGAGCCGGAGCAGGTCGCCGAGACTTTCGATGCCCGTCTGGCCGAGCAGATGCAGGCTATGGGCGAGGGGCCCGAGGGCCTTGATGAGGATACGCTGAAGCTTCTTAAGAGGCTGTGAGTTCTTCTTTCTCTTGATAAAGGCATGACCACTGACAATGTGTGTGCAGGGCTGACGCCGGCGGCGTTGACAAGTTCGCCCGCCTCGATACGACCGTCACCGTCATCGACGCCTTCACAATCTTCAACGACTTCCACACGAGTGACCTGCTCTCCTCAAGACGAGACGATGTTGTTCCCGAGGATGAGCGGACGGTGTCGGATCTCATGGTTGACCAGATTGAGTTTGCCGATGTGATTGTACTAAACAAAGTAGACATGGTGAGCATTCCCGCGGAACTCATGTTGTGGTCGGTGCTAATGAGACACGACGTATGCAGGTTACGAAGACTGATCTCGCCCGCGTCCTTGACTTGATCAAGAAGCTCAACCCGAGAGCGAAGGTCCTCGAGGCCAACTACGGCAAGATCGACGTCAAGGAGATTGTCAACACCAACACCTTTGACCTCAAAGTCGCCCAGTCGGGCGTTGGCTGGCTGCAGGATCTGCATGCCATGACAGTCCGCGAAGTCAGTCTTCACTCAGATCCAATAGGGCCTCAAGAAAGCACGTTGCTAACTTACATCATCGACAGGTCAACGGCCGCAAGAAAATCACACCCAAACCCGAAACCGAGGAATACAACGTCCGCAACTTCATCTACACAAGAACACGCCCTTTCAATCCCCGCAGGCTAT